TAAAAACTAAGATGGATACTAATAAGACAGATACTAATAGTATGATCTTTACCCACCTCCTACTTTCTTTTGGTTTATTTTTCTTAAAGGGGACTCAATAAAGCAACTCTTAGTATGCTGCTTACGACACTTTGGGGCCCAAGAACAGAAGACAACTGTATTGAGGGGGCGCCTGGGTGGCTCAGTGGGTTAAAGCCTCTGACTTTGGCTCAGGTCATGATCCCAGAGTCCTGGGATCGAGTTTCGCATCGGGCTCTCTGCTCAGCAGGGACCCTGCTTCCCTTCCTCTCTCTCTGCCTGCCTCTCTGCCTACTTGTGATCTCTGTCTGTCAAATAAATAAATAAAATCTTTAAAAAAAAAAAAGACAACTGTATTGGAATAAGATTTGTCTGTGGATAATAATAGCACAGATAATGCTGGCTTAAATAAGACAGAACTTTATTCCTCTCTTATTGAGGCCCAGGAGGAAGTAGCTCAGACATGAAACAGAGGATCTACTACATGAAGTCTTCAGGAACTGAGGCTCCTTCTGTGCACTTACTTCACTCTGCACGAGCTCCTTCTTAAAAGGATACCTCTGGGACGCCAGAGTGGCTCAATAGGTGAAGCATCCAACTCTTAATTTAGCTCAGATCTTGATCTCAAGGTCATGAGATTGAGCCCAGCGTTTAAGATTCTCTCTCTGTCCCTCCCCTCTCTGTTCTGCCCCAAACCCCGCCCACTTGTGTGCACTTTCTCTCTGAAGAAAAAAAAAATTTTTTTTTCAAAAAAATCAGGGAAAAATGACATCGGGGGGTAACCTGTGCTCTCTACCGCCCCAATGCAAAGAGGGGTTAGCATACTACATGAGAAATACTCAGGACAGGGGTACTGGGTGGCTCAGTGGGTTAATCCTCTGCCTTTGGCTCAGGTTATGATCTCAGGGTCCTGGGATCGAGCCCCGCATCGGGCTCTCTGCTCAGCGGGGAGCCTGCTTCCCTCTCTCTCTCTGCCTGCCTCTCTGCCTACTTGTGACCTCTCTCTCTCTGTGTCATATAAATAAATAAAATCTTTAAAAAAAAAAAAAAAAGAAAAGAAATACTCAGGACAAGCAGGTGGTCAGCAAGATGTGCTTGGGCTCCTGCTTCTCTTCTCTGAGACTATGTTGGCCTGGCTGTGCTCCCATGTGGCCCATGTCTTTGAGCTAGCTCCCTTCCTATTCAGTTCCAGGCATCACATTCAGATGTGACAAAGTCCAAGAGAAGAAAGGGAAGAAGAATATATCTCTACCCTTTGTCTCCTTTTTAAAAGGGAAAAGAACTTTCTTAGAAGCAGCTAGCACACTTTGCTTCAAGCCTCACTGGCCAGACTGCGTCCCAACCTCATTGCTTGTATAGTCACTGGCAAGGAGAACATACCACCACGGTAGGCATGGACCAGTCAACACCCACCCCACAAAAGCCCTAAGTGGGGTGAGCTTCCCTGAAACACAAGGCTTTACATAGAGGAAGTTCAATACCCCAACAAAATTGGGGTTCTGTTGGAAAGAGGAAAGGGGAAAATATGTTGCATTGACATCCAACTGTGTCTACCGCACTCCATATCCTAATTTCCCATTATGATATACTGCCATTTCTAGCCAGGTAAATTGGATTCTCAGATTAAATTGTTGTAATTATCCTTACAAATCAGCACAGTTCTTATCCCCAACTCCTATCAACAAATTGTGACTTAAGGATAAACAAATGTGTGGAATAGCACACACTGAGGTTAAGTAGATGGCAAACATGTCCAGTTCTCCCTGTCTTCTGTTCACCTTGCCTGTGGAGACGTCACTCCAGATACTGCTATCAGCAGAAATCTCATATACAGCCACCTAAGTTAACCCTTTCAGTATAAATATGAGAAAATCTCCCTAAGAGAAATACATGTTGTTTCTAAGCTGTTACTCATTTCCTACTTGATAAGCAACAGATCTCTGAGGAGCATTTCACTGGAAGTCACCGCACTTAGCAAGTCTAGGAAAAGAACAGTGCACCAGCCCCCACCCAGACCTGTGTGGGCCACAGTTCTCAGTGACAGCACTGATTTCCCTGTACTCTTCCGACCATCTGCACACCTACGTGGGGGCAGTTTTCAGGTTCATTTTTCTTTTGATTCACGATCAATCCAATGGCAAGTCTAAAAAGGAAAGACAGTTCTTGCTCAAACAAGAAGGCACTGGGTGCTCTGAAGCTACAGTTCACTTTTTTGCATATCAAAGTTCAAAAAGTAAAAGAAAACTCAGAAATAAGAGAGAAAAGGGCCCCAAACTGGTCACCAATGCTTGGATTATGTGAGCTTTCCTTCTCATTAAAAGAAGACCCTCTTCTACACAGTGCTAAAAGAATCACTGAAGGCTAGAACAGATGACACTGTCCATAGGATTACAAGGAGGTCTTAGTATTATTTCTTAATTGAAACATCTTTATCAAATGACGTTACTGAAAGTTTCTAGAAGCAATACTAAAAATTTGTTCTGTGGTAAGAAATGTGTGGTAGTAGGGGCGCCTGGGTGGCTCAGTGGGTTAAAGCCTCTGCCTTCAGCTTGGGTCATGGTCTCAGGGTCCTGGGATCGAGCCCCGCCTCAGGGTCTCTGCTCAGTTGGGAGCCTTCCTCCTCTCTCTCTGCCTGCCTCTCTGCCTACTTGTGATCTCTGTCTGTCAAATAAAAAATTAAATCTTTTTTAAAAAATACTTTGGTAGTAATTTTCAAAATATCTTTAGAAATGAAGTAACACCTTAATACTTCTGAAATCCCTTTAACTAGAAATTTACTAAATCCTAAGAAATAATGTATTTTCGAAACATCCATGTGATAAACATCACTATCAACACAACGTTTCAATGCACACAAACTGAACGGTGGCTATTAAATGATTTGTCTAAAAGTAAATGCTGATTCAGACTCATTAGCATATCAGAAGTACAGGTGCTTATAACACATACAAGATTAAGTTAACAAAACTCACTCCAAATATACTGACTAGTCATCCTCCATAAGTTAGTAAACTTTACCAAGCCTGAAGGAGAGTTATTGAATCAGCTCAAGGAACTTTCAACTCTATATTTCACTGGCAGCTGTTTTATGAGAAACAGGTCATAAAATTGTATTTAAACTTTAATGTCATATTTTCTACTGCTCTGCATACAATTAGATCAAAACTTGAGAATATGCATGGGCTAAATGATGGGCAAAGTGGAAAAGATAGGGTTATGTGGGTTTTTTTAGTGTGTGTGTATGTGTGTGTGTGTGTGTGTGTGTGTGTGTGTTTTCAGGGATCTGGGGCTTCAAAACCATCAGGAAATCACAGCCCCATGACCTTCATGTGCTCATGCACTAACAATTCACAACGCCATGCATTTTTCCAATGCTCTTTTCTCTTTTGGCAAGACGAGTATTCTCAAATGAGGCAACGTCTCATTTTCTCTGGAGGTATTCTAACTTTAACTCTTCTCTTCCCTCTGCCTGGACATGCCTTGAAAGTGTCGTCCCAATGAATTATGAGATAAAATTGAGCAGGACTTGTGGATGTAATGACTGTTACACAATCTGCTATAGTTTTTTTGTTGTTGTTGTTTGTTTGTTTGTTTGTTTAGATTTTATTTGACAGGCAAAGATCATAAGAAGGCAGAGAGACAGGCAGAGAGAGAGAGGAGGAAGCAGGCTCCCTGCCGAGCAAAGAGCCTGATGCGGGGCTCGATCCCAGGACCCTGGGATCATGACCCGAGCCGAAGGCAGAGGCTTTAACCCACTGAGCCACCCAGGCGCCCCAATCTGCTATAGTTTTATTCATTCAGAACATATTCATTCCAGGTCCTTCCTGTGCACAAGCCATCTCATACTTTTGGATGTGCAATAATTTAAGTTCACAGTAAAATAAAAGGTAACACATTTTCTTTTCACATGAAGGCAGTGCTTGTATCAGCAACAACAACTGTCATGACCATGAAGTCTTCAAGAACGTTAATCCCTTACATTGCTGGATTTGCACTGATTACTAAAGAGGGCCATGATTCAACTTTAGGTGTTTTTAAGCTTTGCAGTGAAATAAAGTCCTAAAAAGGAAATGGCATAAACATATTTTGCAAATAACTAAATGCAAACTCTTTCTCACTGGGTTCCCCTACAGTTCAGGCTCTTACATACTGGTGAAAACAAGCCCATAGCCAAATTTGTAAGACTGGAGACAGACTTCGTTTAGCTGTTTCACTAATATAAATAAGTCATCCATCTTCCTCCCAGTTTAAATAAAGACAGCAAAGGAATACTTGACCAAGTTGTATCCCCTGACAGAATGAGTTGTTGATGATCCTCTACCTCCAGAAGTACCAGAGCAGGAGGAAGAATCTGGAAAGTCAATTACGTTGCTCTCAAGTGCCCTGATTTCATATCCTTTTAATATGGTTGTGAATGCTGTGGTGACTGAAAACAAATATGGAATAAGGACACTAAGGAAATGCTTTCCTTTTGGGAAAGGTTCAGGGCCCAGAAAGAAAAGAACCAAATCAGGAAGAACTTAACCATTTCTTTACAGGATTAGGGTAAAACTTAAGAGTTCGATACCTGGTTTAGAAGGTATTTTCTAAAGCCAGAAAATGACTAAATTGACAAGATAACCAAATGTTAGGCAGTGGTTGTGGGCAAGGTTGCCTGGAAGGAAGACACCCAAGAGACAGCGTCATGATTTTCTGCAGTTTCAATTCAGTTTGGGGTTTTTTGTTTGTTTGTTTCTGCCTCACACTCTGTAGTGAGTCCCTGTATCTCTGGAGATCTCCCCAAATGAGTTTCCCTCCATCGGTAACTTTAGCAACTGTTACAAAACCCGCCAGTGTTCCTCTTTCCCTTCCCCCCCCCCCCCCCCCCCCCGGAGAGGGAAAGGAACCCTACATCCTGGGAGCGGGATGACACGGTCCTTTCTGCTTCTGATGAAATCCTCCCACAAGTGATCTGAAAGTTCAAGTGAAGCTGTGGCCGATACCTCCTTTTGCAAAACCAGGCCAACGTTACCAGGAGGGAAATTCTGTTTTATAGGCCGGGAATCCCCCGGGAAGTCTCCACAAACAAGGGATATCCCCGCGCCCGTCTTTTGAGGCAAGCTCAGGAAGAGCTCAGAACTTAAGGGAGAGCGAGGTGTTTTCTGGATCCGGGCCTGAACAGACCCCAAGGCGGGCTGAGCGGGGGAAACGAGGTCGCGCCCCCCACCCCGCGGCGTGCACCTGCCTCCCGCATCCGCGCCGCAGCACTTCCCAGAGCATAGCGGGCGGGCGGGCTGACCACGCACCTCCGCCCCCGTCCCCGTCCGGGTCCCAAGAGCGGCCTCGCCCGAGCCTGGGCGTGCGGTCCCAGCGGCGCAGGGAGACAGCCAGCCGCGCGACGCGTCCCGGCCCCCGAGGTCCCGGCGCCCGCAGGTAGCTCGCCGCAGGTGGAAGGCGGGGGGCGCGGCGGGCACCCGCTCTCCACGTGCCCTCTGGGGCCAGATCCGTGCAGCTGTGCAGGCCCCCGGCGGGCGCGGCGCTCCCGGAAAGCCCCCCGCGCGCGTACCTCGGATGTAGCTGCACTTGCCCTCGTCCAGCAGGCTGGAGGCCGAGCCGCCCATGGCCGCGGTGCAGGCGGTGCACGCCGGGCCGCGCTGACAGCTCCCGTCGGCGCCCGCCGCTCGCTCCTGGAGGTGCCTGCGACGGCGAACCCGGCTCTGCAATTAAAGGGCAAACTTCCTCCGACAGGCGCCGCCTTCTGGGGCGCCTCCTCCAGGTCCGCGCCCTCTGAGCGTCTGTGGGTTGGCCCCGGGGGCTGTTCTCCCGCCCTCGCGTCGCTGGGCAGCTCCGAGGGGACGTCCAGTCCGGGAAGACTTCCCGCTCTTTCCTTGTCCTTGCCGGCTTTTGCTGCTGCTTCTCACCGTTATGGGCCGCCGAGAAACCCCTTCGAGGAAGCGGGCAATTTCCCTAGTGACTGTAAACCTCTGCGGGCTGGAACCTACTCCACGGACGAGCCACGGGGTGGAATTCAAGACCCCGTTGCTTTAAGAAACAGCAGTTCCCAAGCATCACCGAAGAACTTTGTATTTTGTTAGAAATACAAAATTGCGACTCCCCCACCCGTCCACGCCCCTCTACACACATGCACGTGTGCACAGGCGCGCGCGCGCACAGGGCACCCCAGTTAGAAACTCCAGGACTGGGGCCCGGCAAACTGCGTTCCCGCAGGCGTGGCAGCGTAATTCGGGTGCCTGCTGAAGTTTGAGATCCAACAGGGAACTGTTTCTTCACGCAGCCGCGAAGCAGAGTCAAGAAGGGGGGTGGGAAATGAAGGGGGGAAAAAAAGAGAGAAATAGAAAAACAGGGAAAACCTAAGCTGGGTCGGGCAATACGTTCCCAGTCCTGAAACTTCAGAACCCCCTCCCCCCTGCCCCATTAAAACCTGTTCTTAGACCTTTAGGACCATTTCTTCCCCTTGGCAAACTGGAAATAATTCATTAGAAAGCCTATCGATTCTTTTTCCCACAACCAGTATTTAACTTGGCCGCCTTTCCCGAATAACACTCTACTGGGGCAGAAGGGTCACCATGCATTTCTTCCTATTCTTAGCAATCAGAATTTTAGCGAGTCCTATTGATTTAACCTCCAAGGTCAGATGGCCTGTTCACACCAAAACCAGGCCCGGAGAACACTTGGAAGGTGTTGTCCTCAAAAGTTCATTGACTAGCATTTTTAACGCCAAGATTTCTCCCACCTCACACCCAGTCTCGCTCACCCTGTGTTCTAATCCATCATGAATCCTCTCCATTCTGCTTTCAAAATATATCCAGTATCCACCCATCTCTCACCCCTTCTTCTGCTACCCTCATCGTGTCTCACCTGCGTAATTGCGATAGCCTCCTAACGGGTCCTCCTCCTTCAGAGAAAAAGCCCTGGTCTGTCATGGACACTAGGCCCTACTTCCTCTCTGTCCCCATCGACCCCCACTCCCCACTGGCCTTTTTGCTCCTCTAGGACACATCTTTGCATGTGCCTTGCTTCCCCTAGGATGCTCTTCCCTCACTTACTCACATGGTGTGCTCTCTAAGTCTTTCATTTCATTCCAAACTCTTCTTAAATGCTAATACCTCAAAAGAGGCTTTTTTTTTTTTTTTTTTTTTCCTTCTGTTTATACACCAGCCCTCATCTCTGTCCTACCCCTTACCCTTCGTTATTTCTATTCATATCACTTAGGGTTATCTGGTGTGTTTCTTTTCTGTCCCCACTAAAATGGAAACTCCATAAGGTTGGGGATTTCCTTTTTGATGTTGTTTCTTGTTTGGTTGGTTTTTTTTTTAGTTATTCATTTTCTTTCTTTCTTTCTTTCTTTTTTTTCCTTTAAGGGCAGGGATTTTTGTTCACTCTATTCTCTGACATATCTCAGATGCCTAGTACAGCATCTGGCAGAGGGGTGCTCAATAAACAACCACTGAATAAGTGAACGGATGAAAGATGAACTATCGGGTCTGGACTTAATGGAAGCGGTGGATCTCAATGAATAAAGAGCATTTCCAGGTAATGACTCCATGATTTAAAGTCTTCCATGTTCAACTCTTTTCTCAATATTCTAATTAGCTCTTAGAATTAAGTGTATCTTGGGGCACTTGGGTAGCTCAGTAAGTTAAGTGTCCAGCTCGTGATTTCGGTTCAGGTCGTGATCTCAGGGTTGTGAGATCTAGCCTAGCGTGGTGCTCAGTGCTGAGCGTGGAGCCTGCTTAAGATTCTCTCTGTCCCTTGCCTTTTCCCTCTGCTCCCTCACCCCCAGTGTCCTTTCACACTCTATCTCTTAAAAAAAAAAAAAAAAAAAAGGCAGGGGGCACCTGGGTGGCTCAGTCTATTGAGTGTCTGCCTTTGGCTCAGGTCCTGATCCCAGGAGGGATCAAGTCCTGCAGAGGGCTCCCTGCTCTTCGGGGAGCCTGCTTCTCCCACTCCCTCTGCATCCCCCTCTCTCTCTGTCTCGTGAATAAATAAATAAAATCTTAAAAAAAAAAAAAAAACTTCTTTTAGGTAAATAGCACATACTAAAATGATTATCTTATTAAATATCTTTATTGAGATATAATTCACTTACATAAATTCACCCATTTAGATTACTTTTTTTGAAGGAGCAAATTAGATTAATAGATATTTAGTACCAGTACCTATAAACTGTGCATGTGTTTGGGGATTCTCTTACCTGTCATTGAACTATGAACCCCTTTTTGGGCATGTTCTCATTTGAGTGAGTGACATCATTTGGGCATTTAACTGCCTGCAGAGTAGGGACAGTTTCAAACTTCTTTGCACTCCCCCCAGTACCTTGTACTGCTGTGTAATACAGGATTGGGAGCTCTTGTAATTACTTTCTTGTGTGATAAGTACACATGATAGGTTACCAGTTATCCAATGAAATCTTCACAAAAAACTGACTGAAGTAGGCACTGTTCTTATCACCATTTTAAAGAAGAGAAAATTCAAGGTGAAAAAGTTTAAGCAATTTAACTAAGGTCACCCGTCACCTGGGTTTATCTAACTCCAGAGTTCATCCTCTTAACCACAGATGCTACTACTTTTATGTTAAATCTTGCTTTTGTTTATTTACATAAATAATCCAGGTTTTACTATAAAAAAATTAGAAATCATGAACAAACAAAAAGGAAAAAAAAGGGGGGGATCATCCAGATCCCAATGTTAATATCTGTATTCTTATTTATTTATTTATTTAGAGTTAGAGAAAAGGAGAGAGTGCATGTGAGCAAGGGGAAGAGATGGGGCAGAGGGAGAGAAAATCCTTAACAGGCTGCATGCTCATTGCCAAGCCCCACATGGGGGTTAATCTTCCAACTCTGAAATCTCGACCTGAGCTGAAATCAAGAGTCCAACACTTAACCAACTGGGGTATCCAGATGCCCCAATGTCAATATCTTTTCGATAACCCCAATCACCAGTTTGATATAGATTCCTATAAATTTACATATAAATATATGTGTAATTATAATTTATAATTATATAAAAACTTACTTATTGTTACTTAGTTACTGAAATGAGGTGATGCTCTTTATATATTCTGTAACACTTATTGTAATTTTTCATTTGGAATATTTCCATTTAAATAAATATCTAGATCTAGGTCAATGGTAGTTCATTATATAAATGTAACCTAAATCACCTATCTACCAGCAATGTATGCCTGCCTGTTTTCCTCCTTCTCAGTCACATTGGACATTTTCATATCTTTTTTAAAATTATCATCATTAATTTCATTATTCATTTTAATATTTGGCAATTTAAAAGTCAAAATAAATATCACATTCTGTGGTTTACTTTTGAAATCCTTAAAGAGAAAGATTCATTATTTTTCCATGGGCTTTTTGGCTATACATGTTCCCTTGTGAATAAGTTGTTCTTATATTTTTCTGGTTTTCTATCAATTTCTTATTCGTAGTGATTTGGAAGAGTTTTATATATTTTAAAGAAATTGACCCATTTACTCTAACTCACATTGCAAATTAAACACATTTTGCTTATTAAAATGTATTTCCTTGTGTTCTTTATTCAGTAATTTTCTTTGAATATTTGCTAACCATATACAAATTGTAAAATCAACTACATTTTTCTCTGGCATCCTCCAATCCTCCCTTAACACTCCCTTCTCTTTTCTCTTTGTATAGTTTCTGATGAATGCCTAATCTTATCAACAATATCTCTTATAGACTGTTGTAGCTTAACTATTGAAAGTCATTTTTATGAATTATTTTTAATAAGCTCCTTCACTTAACTAGCAAGATTGTTACAAGAATCTGATAGGTCCTATTTTCCTCGGGAGTATAAGTTTTAGAAGCTCCAGTTGTCATTCCGATTATTAACTTGTTTCATGATTTTGAAAAACAACTTAAATTTTCTACTTGATATTCCTTATCTTTAAAATGAGTGTCTGTGAAAATTTAATGTGATCGTATATGCAATGCACTTAATACATATTAATATGCATAACACATATTTAGCATTCTCTAAATGAAGCTAGCATGACAAGAAGTAATAAATAAAAAGATGTTTTATTAACTTTTTTTAACTTATCAACATTAGTTCATTTTATTTTTCTTCTTATTATAGTACCTTTATTACATGATCGGGGAATCACCTTCCAAGAGGCAGGGTACCAAGACCAATTTTGAAAAAGGAAGAAGTGTATCTATTACATTTTGACTGTATTTTTGAAAGACATAAAAAGCTGCTTCATAGTACAAACTACAGAAAACTCAGCTGGATAAAATATTTTCTAGAGAGAATATATACAAAATGAAATTCAACTTCTGCTTGTCAATGATTCTTGAGGGGAAGTTTCAGGAGCTTCTGTGTGAAATTCTTATTAGAAAAGACAGATATGGGGCACCTGGGTGGCTCAGTTGTTAAGCATCTGCCTTTGGCTCAGGTCATGATCCCAGGGTCCTGGGATCGAGCCCCGCGTCAGGCTCCCTGCTCAGTGGGGAGCCTGCTTCTCCCTCTCCCTCTGCTGCTCTGCCTGCTTGTGCTCTCTTGCTTTCTCTGTCAAATAAATAAATAAAATCTTTTTTTTAAAAAAAGACAGATATTTATTTTTAAAGATTTTATTTATTTATTTATTTAAAAAAAAGAGAGAGACAGCAAGAGAGGGAATATAGGCAGAGGGAGTGGGAGAGGGAGAAGCAGGCTTCCCGCCAAGCAGGAAGCCTGGTGCGGGGCTCTAACCCAGGACCCTAGGATCACGACCTGAGGCAAAGACAGACACTTAATGACTGAGCCACCCAGGCGCCCCCAGGTTTTTTTAATTGAGAAACATTGCTTTTCTTCAACATGCTCTTTCTTTTTTTAAATTGAAATACAATTAGCATACAATGTTATATTAACTTCAGGTGTATAACATATTGATTTGACAATTCTATTCATTACTCAATGTTCACTGCAAGTCTAATTACCATCTGTCACTACACATTATTACAATACGATTGAATATATTCCCTACGCAATACTTGTCATCTCTTATC